GTAGGAGCCAACCTTCTGCCCTGGTTATTTCACCAAATCTCTAAGAAGGCAAGGTTCAGAAATACCCAAAGAAGCAGGGCAACCACCCATTGAAGTTACAGTACCTCAGTATTTGGTCAACAGTTCCAGAATACATGGAAGTCCCAACCAGACTCTTCATGGGGGCTGCTTAGTCCTAAATGCCTAACATCGTATTGTATTCCCCTGCTCCAGTTGATGGAAGATTAGCTGATGCACTTGCCCCTGGGTACATTACAGAAGCAGATGAGTTACCTGGCAGGGGAGGGCCCAGTTGAAATGTTCCACGTTTGCTGTACATAACCACAGCCCTGTCTATTCTTTCTGCAAAGAGATGGATCTTTTACTCAGGCCAGAACTTTTATGTGCTGGTCCTCCCCCTAGTCCATCCTTACTTCTCTTACTCGGAGCTGTCCAAGTGGGTCCTCCCCTGCCTGGTGAGCTTCTCTTATAATGACTTAGCAATCCATCAACAGGAGGGCAGGTTGGCAACCTGTTGGGTACCTTCCTGGGATGGTGTTCCTGTGCATGTAGCAAGCAAGTATTCGGTTCAAGACCCACTGCCAGCATAGATTTAACCACAGTAGGTATTACCCATGAAAGTTTATGAAAGCTTTGGAAGTTGTTTTGCTCTTACTGAATTATCTTTCCATGGCATTTGTGTGGCCTGCCTTGATTAATATTGAATCAACTTAAATCACTTTTGATTTTCAGAATAGAAATTGTCCTCTACTTTATTTCATAGTTGCACACTATTTACATTCATGTATCCATTAAGTGGTGGGTCTTTAATTCTTGGGATCCTTTTTAACAAGAATTTGCTCCTTGACTGTTTCCAGGTTGTTTATTACTAGTTGATTTCTTCAGAACCAGCTACCAAACTGTTTATAGTTGGTACTACTTTAATGATATTAAAATGTTTGCCCAGCAAATCTATTGTCTCAAAAGCAAACCTCTTGTCCTCAGTTCCATGTCCTTGAAATGTTAATTTAAAAGAGAAATGGCATGCACAAATTCATGAGAAAAGAAATTCTGGTTTACATTTTGTAGCAAGCTATTCTTGAATCATGGAGCTATTTTGTAGCATTGTAATCTATAATTACTGTTTTAGCCTAAAATGTTCTGGGAATAATCATAGGGCTGTATATTAGATGCTTGCAACCCTGCTGGGAAAAATAACTGGCAAGGAGGAGTAATTCAATTTATTTAATTTTTAATTGGTTGAAAATCAGATTCCAAGTAGGAGATTTAAAGTTTGTATAACTTCTGTGATGTTTGCTTTAACAAATTATATTAGAAGAATAAGATCTATGACAAAATGCATAGCAAGACTAGTACTTAAAGTATTAGGATGACCATCTATGAAGAACCTGTGGTTAACCTGCTGTTTGTCATTAAATTTGCAACTCAGATGAAACTTCCTTTTTAAAAACGAATAAGCAACCAGCAAGTAGTTCACCAAAAGAATGTGCTTTTTGATGGTTTTATTTGTTTCTCATCTTTAGCAATATCAGATGTGTATTTTATGGGTTAAAATAGAAACTCTGCAATTAACTTATATATATGTTTTATTAATTTATATTGAAATTGTCAGTTTTGCAACATTTATTCCTTGGAAAAAGATTGTAAGGAACAATGTATTAATCTTATAAGGGAAGGAAGATGCATATGACTAGGCTAGGCTAAGTTTTTTCAGCTCAGAACTTGAGGTTCTTGATACTCAGATCATGAATATCTCACTCCTTTGACATCTGTTTCTTCTGTTCTCCTTTCTTTCCCCCAACTAAATTAAAATTTGTTTTGTATATCAGATGCAACACCATCTGGATAGTGAGAGCCCTGCTAAAGTTATCAATGCCATGTACCAGGTTTTCCTCCTTTTGCACATTCTAAACAACAAACCATTTCTTTACCGAAAGCCCTTTATTCACCAAAGAATACCCAATAAACAAAGTCACCACAGAATGTATTTCTGAACATGCACAGAGTGGTATGTCGAACTCAGTCTAAACCATTACTTCCAGAAACCCTCCTTTTGAATTTGTCTGGGCCAGATCCCTTCTGAAGGGCCTGTTTGGATGCGAGCCCACCTCTTTTCTGTCTACCTGTCCTCAAGATGGCTGGCCCTTCTCTCCCGATGCCACGTCATGGGGTCAAGGGTTGTACCAGGTTCAGCTAAATCTGAGAGCTCCTCTCCCATGCCCCCACCCAAACCTGTGCACCGTGACTATTCTCAGAGCCTGCATGAGTGCTTGGAGAGAGTGACCTTGAGATAAGCATTGTTTCTTCCATCTCAAGACTGGGAGCCTCGCATTCCCAAACTCCTCTCTCCCTCCATTTTAGCAACCCTCTGAGGTAGGTTTAGACCATGAGGCAGTGACTGGGCCAAAGTCATCTAGTGAGCTTCATGGGATGAAACTAGAACCCAGGTCTCCTGAGTCTCAGTCCAGCACTCTTAATCACTGTACCACAGTGATGCTGTTGTAGTGGACTTGGCAGGATTCAGCTTCAGTTTTGTGCTGCTTCATCTCCTCTCCATGAATTTTCAAAAGTTATAGGAAGAGGTTCTGATATTAGATCTGCAAGTCTTTCTAGTGTCCCAAGGATGTAATTCATCAGGCCCATGAAATAATTTTGAATAAATTCCATAACACTATAACTATCTTAGGCTGCTTCTATTTATCTTTCACAAGTCTATGCTTATTCTGCTCTGTGCCCCTGCAAGATACCCCATATAAGTTTTGACCACTTGTTTGCATTAGTTCTTGGTGTCTTGTTCCTCCATCCATTAATACACACCTGCTTGTTAAATCTGAGCTCAACTGAGTTGTTCTACAGCTACCTACCCGTTTTTTTAAAAGATGCCTTACATTCCTTCAGTTCACTTCAACAGTTTGTGATTGTGTCCTCAGTATCTTATGTTTAAGAAACTCCCACCAATTTTGAATGACCATTTGAAGTATTTCTACACATGGAATCACACTCACTATCTCTTTAAACTTGATAAAATTGGTTGACCTGAAGTCCAAGGTGCACACCTAACTATACCCAGTTTCTCCTTAGTATTATGATTTTTGAGGTGACATAATCACTTCTACCTCATCAACAATCACTTTTCTATTGGACAGTATCAGGCTTCAGATAGCCAGTCTGCTTTTGTCATCTTTACTTTCTAGAAGACAAAATTGCCTGCAAGTCATGCCAGGAATTTGTTAGAGTTTTCGTTTTTAGCAGAATTTGACTTCCAGCAGATATCAGAGTAATTGAAATTTCCCGTTTTTATTATGTCCTCTTGGGAAATGTGATAAACTTGTTTAGGCTTCATCCAGTCCTTCAGTTCGTAGCAGACTCCCAGAATATCACCCCTTTCCCCTGCCCTTTTATTCAACCTGAGTGATTTCAACTGACATGTTCCATGTTTTCTCATATGTGAATCCATCATAGTGCTCCTTCTCCCTCCCTCCCTGCTAGGTCTTCCTTTTGAATAACTTGCTTCTCTGCCTCTATATTTCAATCATATCTCATCCCAGTAATATCTATTATATCTTGTTATTTATTTATTTATTATTTGCATTTATATTCCACCCTAATAGCCCAGAGGGCTCTCTGTATTAAATTTTCACATTCATCCTGTTCATTCTCCTTACTCTCTGCATTGTTATAGAGACAGTGGAAACTGTTATATCTGACTCATCATATATTGTGGTTCCTTGCACATTGCTGGGCACTTACACTATCGTCCTGGTTTCATCTCTATTCCTGTCCTCAGTACATAAGGTTATGCTGTCATCTAGGATTTCACCTCATAAACACACAGAGAAGATTTAATTTAAATCTTTTTAATGTTTTATGAAAATCCAGCCAAATGTACTTACTAGTCCCTGTGAGGTGCAGTCCTTCTCCCACCAGATATCCTTTACCATGGAAAAATCGTGGTATGCTATCAAGTCATCTCCAACTTAAGACCACCCTATGAATGTCCTGTCCATGACAGTCCGACTCACCTCTTGTAAACTGAAGGCTATGTGTTCCTTTATGGAAACATGGAGACATTGACCATAATCTAAAAATCTCATACTTTCCTTATCACATGATGTCCGTAGCCAGTCATCCACTCCTTGCATTCTTATATCTTGCCTAGCCTATGACCATTTTTCACCTTTAAGTATATTGGCTGGAACTAAGGGGAAGCTGAAGGCCAAAGCATCTGAAGGCATCAAGCATCAGGTTGCTTTCCACTTATCTGTGGGGAGGTGTTAAAATCAATTTTACTGCTTGAAAAAGACAGAATGTTTCCTAATAATCTTCTTTCTGTTTCTGACATTCTTCCATGTATGTTCTCTGTACCTAATTTTTTTTTTTGCATTTCTCTAGAAATTGTCCCTTTTTATTGTTCTGGAGCTGTTTCCTATCTTCTGTAAGAAATTGAAATATAAATTGAGACATACTTCAAGTCCTAGTAAAACAAACATCACAGAACTGTTGCAGTTTATCGAAGCAGCACCCTCACTACTCATGCTTCTTGGTTCTTGGTAGGTAGGAATACAGGCTTCCTAGGTTTCCCCTTATATTACTACTTAAACATCCCTCTTTGTCTTCCTGTTCACTTGCTCTGGATTGTGAGCTCCTTGGGATCATCAGGGAACTTAGAATGTGCAGATCCCATCGCTGACTAATTCTGTGGCTGTGCTCAAGTATCATGCATAGATCATGTATCACAGGATACACAACATCCTTTGCCTCTTTCACCACTCCTGCTTAAAACTCCTGGTTTGTGGTCTTCTCCATTTGCTCTGGATTGTGTATGTTACTTGTGTGGAGGTAGATAAAATGGTCTAGTGGAATTATATTGTACACAAAATTAATTACTCTTTTAAAAATGAACTTTTGTTTAAAAACTGTGGCTAACCTGAATGCAAAAGACCTGTGTTTCAGGGGACTGGGAACAAGAAAAATCTGATAATTTTGTTCTTTTTTTCCAGGAGACACTGATAGACTGGTGTGATGAAAAGGAACTTAACCTGATTTTAACAACTGGAGGAACAGGGTTTGCACCAAGGGATGTCACACCAGAGGTGAGATTTATCTTTAAATCTTCTGTATTTCTAAAGCATCTTGTTCTTTTATATGTGATGCTTCAGAAGGTACCTATCTAATATGGAATGTTGTTCTATCTCTAAGACCACAAATATGTGTCTCAAACTGTTCAGAAGTAAGGAATTGATTTTACTGCCAACACAAGGTTTGTGAGTTGTGTGTAGGCTAGTTTCTGGAATTCTTACATATTTTGTTTGCATTATTGATAGGAATGACTGGGGCACAAACTCTTCTGTAGTATTAGTTGTCAGAGCATGTGGTAGGCCTCCTTAGGGAGCTATGAATAGTTGCTAGGTAAAATGCAAATACTTTCCAGCCACACCCAGTGTATTCCTTGGCTTGGCCAAGAGGAATAGTGTCAGTCCACTCTTACATTGTCTGATTTTGAAGGTTTTATCCCTTAACATTGTTCCCATAGGAATCTTTTATCTTGCAGGTCATCCTGCTTTTACTCTTTTGCTTTGATTCACAGTGGGGTCATAGTGGGGTTTGGTGGGCGCATTCAAACAATTCAAGGTTGAATTCTTTCACACATGAAGCTAGTAGTGTAGAAGCTTCTTCTGTGAGACACAACCATTTACAACAGGGAACTATGCATGAATAAGGAATTTGCATGGGCCAAGTCAGTCAGGCAAATCATCTCTGTGCCAATGGTATTTCATTCAGATGGAGAACACCAGTTAGGTAGAAAAATCCATGAGATTACATAGTCCACATATCAGGTGACTCTGACATTGCTAGATCTACATGTGAATGGAGAGAACATGCTCTGCATATTAATACTGATTCATCTATCCTAAGACTGGAACACTAGATGCAGAGCTAGTTCACATTAGTTACTGTGTTGGGATGGAAATTGTCATGATTAATCTGTGTTATAATAAGTAATATATCTTACTATACTTTGGCTAGCCTAAACACACTTACTGTACATAGCTGTATCTTTTGCTAAAATATTTTGTCAAACTTAATAACCACTATTTTTAAAAGGGCATTGAAAGAGATTTTCCCTAAAAGATAAGCATCCATTGATGATGATGCTGTTAGGCCTGTGCTACCAGGGCCATGATTCTAACATATTCATTAGCAATTTAGAAGTAGTGATAGGCATGGAATAATGGCTGAGGGTGAAGATAGTTTTGCATTTCAGAACTGAAATAATTCAGTTTTTTAAAGTTTATTAAAGTTTCAATGATGTTTAAAGTTGAACAGATAGTGTGGTGATATTTTCCAGTGTTAAAAACCCAGGGTAAATTTTTGGAGTCATGGCAAGACCTTATAGCTTTCGGCATGTTAGGAAAAGCACCAGAGATAATTATCTTGCAGCTACCTTCTCCATCATTCTGTAGATAAAATCCATGGTAAGAGGCTCTGTGTTTTGTTTTCTTCTTGGAGGGAGGAATAGATACAACGCTCACCCAGGTACCGTTGGAGATTCATAGACCATCCCCTGGCCTGTCCAGGGAACAAAAAAGTCCACATATAACAAGCATAGATTTCATTTTGCTCATTTATATTCTGCTTATATATATTAAATCACTGTATTCAATACATTGTATATCATATTTGACGCAGATGGTTTTGCTTCTTTCTACATGTCCTCAAATTTAAACTGAGGTGACTTGGCTTTGCCAGTCCCCTAGGGATTGATACAGCGCATAATACCGTGAAGTCTAAAATGGCCTTGCTTCCCCCATTTTTCAGGAATTGGCTTATTTACTTTCCATTTTACTTTTCTAACCCAATTAGAAATGATACAGAACTTGGGTGGCCCTGCACTGATCCATATGGAGATGAAAAAGGGCTGCCCTCAACTAACCAAAAATGTCTGTATATTTGGGTGAGCCACAAGGTATGCAGAAAGGATAATCTCCTCTTCAAGAAACAAAGGAGAACTTTGCATGGGTGTGCTCACCTGGGGAAAGGTGAAGTGAGAGAGAGAAGGGAACAAATATCTTTCAAAAAAGAGACTGATTTTGACAGTTGAGAACAAATGGTCTTGAGTGGGGGGGCGGTGATGAGTAAGTGTGTGTGCTTTTGGCATGAATAATACTTAAAGCACTTTATGCTCAGGCTTGAACAGGCTGGCAAGGAAGGTCGATTTCCATGGCTGAGATAACCTGACTTCAAGCAAGGGAACTATCCCTGTACTTCTTCTAAGCTAGGAGTTGGGTAAAGAGATTTCAATTAGAACCCAATGGAATCATAGGAATATTTTCTTGAAAGTTCTACTTGCAGCAGTATACCTTGGATAAAATTTTAAAGCAGGGCTTAGCTCATTGTGGTAATTGCAGATCTTGTGAGCACTGATTTCCCAAATGTGAGGCCATATCCAGATTCAGTTGTATATGGCCATGTTTCTGTTTTGTGTTTGACACACTTTTGAGATTAAAATGATAAAAAACTGAAGAAAAATAATGTGTTCAGTGTGACTGCAAGGTACTTGTCTTAGCAAGTTGGTAGATTAGCGGAAAGTGCTACAGTGATTAATAATTTATTCTTTAGGGTTTATTATCTTAATTTTTGTATGAAATAGGCTTTTTTGACTTTAGGCTGCTAAAGCTACATGTTTTTCCAAGATTTGGAACATTTTTTCTTTCATTCTAGTTACAATGTATAGTTTCACTCATTTTTCCTTCATGCTAACATTTTTGTGTCTAGTCTGGTAGCATAATTTATTCATATTAATGTTCAAGAAGAGTTGCTGCATAGTCATGATCCAGTATATTAAATTTTAAAAACAGAGACGAAGATAGCTCAGAGAGAGAATTCTGTGGAATGCACAAAAGACAAAAAATATTATTGGAACTTACTGGTTCATTTCCCAGTGTGTTAATATTTGAAGCTATTTCTTTAAAAATAAGCATGTTAGTACTTTGTTAGTTGTCAGAAGTGCATTATTTCAGATAGGGCCTTCTGAATTAATCAATACACATTTGGATTGTAGGCCAAGGCAATCACAATTGTGAATCTGTGTTGGTCTATAATCCCAGCATGAAACTTTAAAAGTACTAGAAGGGATGTGCATATTTCACACTATCTAGAAAAGATAACTTTTTCTGTTGAAGTAAAATTTGTCTTATTAATGCATCCTAACTGTATTTAGAATGTGCCTTTGTTAATGCTGAACTTTTATAATCTGGCTCTGTACATTTTTGCCATTCTACATTTTATTTACAGTTTCTTGTCTCTGTGACCTTCTATTTTAAATCATGTTTATTGTGTTTCTCTTGTGCTTAATTTTTTCATTTTTTCCCCACTGAAAAATACTTCTTCATATTTGCTCACCCATCATGGTAAATCATGGTTTGGCATTAGAGAAAGAAGCCCTGTGCTTCTGTGCTGAGTCTTTTCATCAGAGTGAGTTGTGTTCTCACAGAATACATCTGGACTCTGGCTTGTGGCTCTTCTGCCAAACCTGGGTCTGAAAGCCAGCTTCAAAGTCTGGCATATTAGAGGAGTAACAAATAAAGAATCCTGGTTAACATAATCACCCTGCTTTCTTGTCCCTATACATTCCTTGCTAGTTTAGCTCCCAGGAATAGTGAAGTAGGAGTGTGCAGGCAGCATGTTTTCTTGAGAACAGTAAACCCAGTTTCTGAAAAATTCTGGCTTTCTCTTTTATATAAGCATGTTCTTGGTTGGTTACTTCCCTGGTTTGCAGTAATCCATACTTCGCTGTTTCTTCAGAACTAGCACACTGTGAATTGAACTTGTACTCCAAAATTGGATAAATTTGAAGTGGCTTTGAAATGTACAAGTAGACCCAAAATTATGGTATACGTAGCAGGGTAACATTATAAAAACCACAAATTCAAGTACTGTAACTGTACAATGTAATAACCATACCAAGGCCATAAATGTTAAATACTTCTCAAAAGAAAAAAGGGAAAAAACAAATTCTGAAAATTACATGTAGGCTTCCATGTAAATACTTTTGAATAATTAGCATCAAGGAAGCCCTGTTCTAATTACCTCAAGATTTAGAATTGTGTTGTTTTTATAAGGTGGAGGGAACACATATACATGTCCACACACATAAACAAGGAGAAAACCAAGTATATGATAAAATAAATGGTTTGCTGCAATAAAATTATTGCATTGTACAGTACTTCTTTTTGGGATTTCTGCTACTCCATTCTAATCTGTGTCTCTTCTAGTTTTCTTCCCCTGTCTACCCTGCCCCAAAATCAGTGCTGTTCCGAATTCTCATTAGACTTGTGGATTAGACCAATGAGAACTTAAGTCATGTTCCAGTTATATTGAAATCTTAGATTTCTTTATTGCTGGCTATGGGCAGCTCTCACTTGTGTCCTTTGGGGACCTTTAAAAGTACATGTCATTGTGAAACAAGAAAAGACCTAACCAAACAATTTAACTATATGTCTCTTCTTCCTGTGATGTAACTATATGTCTCTTCTTCCTTTCTTTTTCCCAGCCAGTCCATTCATTAATTTGTTCATTTATTCATTCATTTAAAACATTTCGATCTCATACCAAATTAGCCTAATGGCTCTCAGGACAGTTTACAATTATAGTCACCTCCCAACCAGTCATCAGGGTATTTCCCTTATCTTGCTTAGTCTGTCATCTTTCTATTCTATTGAGTTTATTTGGGATTCTTTCTAGGTTCCTTCCTCATGGGTTTTTTTTAATTAGCAACTATTGGGATTGCCCCATGTCTTCTGTACTGCTTTATTATACATGGGTGATGCAGTTGTGGGGAGACTTGAACTGATATTAAAATATCAGTTGCTTAAAAGAATTTTTTTTTTTACAATTTGAGGTCATGCATGGATTCTTGGACTGCAAATGGTACATTCTTCAGCTTTAAAATGTGTTTATTTTACTTCTGAGGCTATCCCTGCTTTATTCATGCTTTTTTCTACACAGAAATTCAGAAAAAAAAATACACAGTGCCTTGCTGAAATACAGCTTACTTTAACTTTTCCACATTTTACTTTGTTACAACTTAAAT